CACCTTTTCCCTCACATTTCAGACTCTGACTTCCTACCTTTGTGTAACATTCCCTCCTTTGTAATTGTCTGCCTGATTGTTTTCACCTGTTTTCACTTACACCTGGTATAAATAGTCCTTGTTTGTCTTGTTCAGTTTGTGAGAAGTATTGTCATGTGTTCCAGCCAGAGTTACAGAGTTTTTTCATGTTTTGATTAAGGTTTGTGTGAAGTTTTTGATCTTCCCGTGAGCTTTTGTTTCTTTTTTTCCCTCCTTGAGAGCGCCTTTAGTTGGATTGTTTTTTGGACAATAAATACCCCTTTTTAGATAGATGTAGATACATTCTAGGTAAGACCTGAATAAAAAACTACCTCCAACACTGAAAAAATAGTATTTTAGTCCGTCCCCACTCTCTAACTTTACACTTCAGCACATGATCAGAAGGAAGTAGTATCATTTATGTCTTCTGAAGGCCATAGCTAGACCAAAAGTAATTTCTGTCACTCACATTTTCTGTATTTTTGATCAGACTGTAAGTATTACTAAGAATGTTCAGCCCTGTAACCTAAATAATTTCTTAAATGTTGTTTTTTTAAAACAGTTTTATTAAACCACCTAAAGGTGATCATTGTTCTCATGCAATTAGCATTGAGGCTATGTGGCTACTTTTCATGTATTTGCTAAAAAGATGCTAAAAACTCAGTCTTGTTACTTTCACTCCTATTCCCAAAAGTGCAAAGTCTTCCATTTAGAAACCATATAAAAAATAAAATGGCCTGAGATTGACAATTACACGTTTTGAAACGTTAAACCTGTGTTATTAGATACAGTTCTGACACAAGTTAAAGAATAAAGTTTCATTTTGAAATGTTACAACATGCAAATGGAACCGATTTGGCGGGATGGCAAAAAACACTGAAATCAAACTAAAACTAAACATTTTTAAACTTTTTCAACTTAAAAACTCAACTGAAACCAGCAAACACACTATGGAAACAAACTCAACTGAACTGAAAACAATAATTAAAAGGAAACAAAATGAAAGCTAAGAATAACTACCATGTTTCTGTAGGTGGCTGTAACAGGCAGAGGTAAGGTCAGAAATTAGAATTAGAAAAGTCTCCAGTGGGATGTTAAAATGAGTTATTATTTAGCTCACTCACTCTGTTGTACTTTGGTGCATTTTCACTAAGGCTGAAATCATAATGAATGAAAGTCTCCTGCAGTTTTATCGCTAATTGAATCATTCAGTGATTATTTAGTGTTGCACTTTGATCCACAGGCTGACAGGCTCACAAGAAGCAAGACCGAGAATCCACATCCAGGGTTTCCATGATGAGAAGGATGGATGACTACAGGACCAGCTGGCGAGCAGTGGTCCCCTTTCTTTCAGTCGGCTGAGTAAGTGAGTGTGTAGTTGTGTTCAGGTGACTCCTAGGGCCAGAGGTATAAGCCATGTGTAATTCCCCACTTTCCACGCAGGTTTCCAAATGTATAAAAATCCATGTGCTGTGAGAATGTGTATACTGGTACACATCTTTAACGCCATGCATACGCCATGCTTTGAGTCTTATAGTGTAATGTTGCAAATTGGTCACAACAGTCCAATTGTTTGACTACTTTGGTGTTTTTAGGTTCATTTTGGTTCTTCATTTTAGAAAAAGAGAAACAAATCAATAGAAGATACAATCAGTTAAAATTGTTACTAGGGTATTATCCCAAACAGAATATATTGAAACAATCCACATAAATATTAAAATGTTTTATAACTTTTATAATAATGAATTAATTATGCAAGCCCTGAGAGAGAAGTTGGAATAATGTTTGTTGTTGGGATACTCGTTTCGGCCACAATAGGCTGAAGTGCACTCCATGCTCTAAATAGGCACACAAACACATTCATGTTTTTTCCTTTGTGGGTTTATGTTTGAAATCCAGCTGATTATGGAGGTGTCATCCGATGACAGTCGGGCGACAGTGTGGCAACAGTTACTTTTAAACGACAGAGAGTTGAGGCAGAGGACATCAGAAGGATGATGATATGATCCAGTTTCACCCAAATTGGTGACATAGTTGGTTGTGTGTGACTACTTCCATAAAGCCTTATGTACTTGTGGTGACCTGAAAAAAAAATTACATAGAACAGGAACAGGTGGTAATGACAGAGGCACCAATCACCCTATTACAACAAGTGTAGCATCATAAAGACTTTAAAGCTGTTATTTTAAGGTAGGTAGGTTAGGTAGGTTAAGGTTGATAGAGCGGAGCATACAGCACATCTGTTGTTATTAACCCGAATGGACATCGTCGTCATAAAATAGTGATTGGGTCAGCCAATGTCACCCCAACCCTTAGCAAATGTTGGCTATGATGCAGTTTTGTTGATTCCCAAGTTTGCCAAATTTGCCAAATGGATGAAGAAGATATATTTACATGTTTTTCTATTGCAGTGGTTCACCTGAGGTTCTTAATTCCTAAATAGTTTTCCCAATGAGAGAATATGTAAGAATGAAGAAACAAGTTGAGCTAATAATAGCAGCAGCTCAGCTTGCAGCCCCTCCGGGACGTTCTTTGTCTGCCCAACAGGGTGGGAGAAATTTTTGAACCACCATTTTCTACAGTAGCCCAGAATGGACAAACCAACTACTGGCTGTAGATAGGGACTTTCGTGGTCTTTACAAGTTACACACTTCACAGCCTGTTCTCATTCCTGGGTCTTGACGCGAATAGTGTTCAGTTAGTTGCAACCTGCAGCTTTGCTAGTTGCCACTACATTATCTGTACATTACCTGTCAAAACAGCTAACGTACGATAACAACAATTTACAATTAATCGATTATCAAAATGGTAGCTAGTTCATTTTCACTAAGAATGATTTGAATGCATACCGTGGCATATGATGATTTATAAACTGAAATACAAACAAATTGAAGGAAGCATAGTGGGGCTTACATTTTTGTAAAGATGCAAAGTCAACTAAGTATAATTATAAAATTCAGCAATACTTAAAATACTGCACAAATTTTAGTTCAGTAAGACAACTTAAAAAATTGTATTACTTCAACAATTAATTTTCGAGTTGGGCTTAATTCATGGGATTGAATGATTTTTGGGAGTGATTTTTTACGTTATGTGAATTTACTTCCCATGTAATGCTGTTAGTATTCACAGTGCATGAAAAGGACATTTTTCTTTAAATACACACTGATCCACATTGTTGATGCTGGAAACTTTGTTTCTTTTCCAACATTACATTGTTCTATATGTTTTATAGAATACAATACGTATTGATATTTCTTTCCCTTTATTGTCTTTATTGCATATTTGGTGTTGAGTTATTTTTTTTATTAAATAAAAAGAAACAGAAAGTAATCAAGTTACATTACTTTAATATTGTCATACTTGGATTAGGCTACTGACCACATTAACAGGTTTAGTAATTGTGTGATTACATTTTTAAAGTAACCCCCCCAACCCTGTTGATGACTCTACCTAACCCTCACCTTGCAGATTGCAGAGGTGCATTTGTTATGTTTCAACACTCACGACTGTTTTGAAAGACAATTCTTTTAAAACTTTTATTAAAATTCTGAATGAAACTTCTGGATCAATCACTATGGCCAACTGAGTAACTGAGATTCACGTAGCAGATGCGTGATTCTCTGCAGGGCTGGCCCACCCTCCATATTGCTCTGTGATCTGCACCACACACATGTTTTCACTTACAGACCAACTTTTTTTTTTTTTCCGCTGGGGAGGAAACCAGAGAGCAGTTCCTGACTATGAGTCATCACTGGTGCCCACACCGCTTAAACAGACTCAAAGCGGCACGCAAATAGAGAGACCTCTCTTTTTTTAGTCTTCATGTATAAAGTTGATGTTTTCGACATACTTTTCCCAGTTTTTGCTCAGATGTCTGGATGTTTATAATGGATTATAAAGGCTGAGTCACATGTCCCACCTCAGGACACATCCAGAGCGTGAGTTTGTATGACTGCTTTCTATACTGGCTCTTTGTTTCCAATCAAATGTCCGGTTTTGTTTTTAAGAAACTTCCATCTATGTTTTCAGGTGTCTCTGGCTGCTTTTTTGATTGATGCCATAAGCATGACTTAAGTATATTGCTTATTTTTTGCAAATAAATTGACTTCATTCATTACAAAACAGTCAAGCATACTACAGTCCAACCCTAACCCTTTTTTTTAAAACAGAAATTTCCCTTAAACCCATTGTTCCTAATTTACTTCTCTTTTCATTCTCTCTCTGCAGCCTGACATTGCTGAAAACCAAACTCACCTCATTTTACTATTACTCTCAGTAAGGACACAACATCCCAACATGGCTGCTTACGCACTCGTCACAGAGAACTTTAAGTTTGTGTCCCTCTTCTTCAAGAGTAAAGATGTGATGATCTTCAACGGTCTGATTGCTCTGGGCACTGTGGCCAGCCAGACTGCCTACAGCGTCTTCGCCTTCAACTGTCCATGTTCCCCTGGAAGGAACTACTGCTACGGCCTGGCTGCCATTGGCGTTCCGGCTCTGGCATTCTTCCTCGTGGGAATAATGATGAACAAAAGCACATGGGACCTGGTGTCCGAGTGTCGGCTCAGAAACTGCCGGAAACTGTCAGGGGCCGCAGCCTTCGCGCTGGTTGGAACCATCATCGGTCGAGCTGTAGTGGCTCCGCTGACATGGGTGGTTATCTCTTTGCTGCAGGGCCAGGCGTACACGTGTGCCCTCAGTGAGTTTGTTGACCCCAGTACACTGGGGAAGGACTTCCCCTCAGATATGGGGTCAGAGGTCATTGCGAAATTCCCGTGTCAAGGAAGTGTTCCCACGGAGCTGCAGCGCTTCTGGGATGAAATTGAGCGTCGACTGAAATACGAATCTCAGGTACTGGAGTGCTTGGTTTTATTTTTATTTTTTTTGCGGGTCTTTCTTAATTTTATGTCTTGTTTGCTTGATAGTCATTGGTTTCATGTCTTGGGTACTGTGACTTTAACAGGAATGAACAATAGAAATCAATACATTTGTAGTTTCTCGCACTTGGAAAGGAAGGATGAAGCGAGTGAGCTGCAGCTCCAATCTCAATCTTCAAATCTCAAGGGGAAAATGGCGGCTCGCCTGGTCACACACGTTCTCGTATTCCAGATAAACAGTTCACTAAAATATGTTGGTGTCAACACAGTAACAGAATCTTGATTCATATTTGATCAGCACTGCCTAGTTTGACAGTCTGTCCTTTCTTTTCAGCTGATAGGCTGGCTGCTGGTGGCAGGAATGTCTGTGGCGGTGTTCCTGATGCTGTGCATGAAGCGCTGCTCCTCTCCTTTTGGCTACCTACAGGAGGACTACTGGTCTCAGTACCGCTCTAATGAAAAGACCCTCTTCCAACGCACGGCAGCTGTCCACGCCCAGCTCCTGGCTGCGGAGAACATTAAGAGCTTCTTTGGCTTTGTGGCGCTGGACAAGGAAGAGAAGGAGCTGCTGGCTGAGCACCAGAGTGTCAGTCCTATCTGCAGCACTGACTGGAACAGAGTGACTGGTGTCTACCTCTACAGGGAGAAGAAAGGTCTGCCTTTGTACAGCAGGCTCAACAAATGGGCCACGTACAGCCTGGAGCATAACGTGGAGGCCATGGACAAAGAGATGGACACGTTCAGCTGACAGGAAGGACGGTGGGCCAGTGACAAAGGCATCAGTATGCTTTAAATAGAGTGCTTGTTGGACTTCTGACAACCACCCACTCTATTTACTGCCACTATGCCTTGAGACATTTTATAAGAACTAGTTTGTTTGAAGTACACTGAACCCTTTTGTTATGAAATCCAGCCAGACGGATGTGCCGATGTGGCTGAATGTGTGTTTCATCTGTATTTTGTAGGTTTATCATGTTTGCCAACTAACTTGGATATTGACGGTGTGGCCAGAAAGAAGAAAGCATAATAATACCAAGTGTAAATGGGACAATGGACATAAGATCTGATTGAAATCAAGCCGTCATTTTATTTGAGATACTTTCAGTCAAATGCCTTGCTTTATTTACAACATTCCTTTTAAAGGTTAACTTCCTTGTGTGACTGTAACTCTATGGGCTGACTTAATCAGATAACTCTATGTATAGACCCAGTCCAAACTTTCCCAGATGTGACACTTGATGATTAAGTTCATCATTTATAACTCTAACGTCTGCAGAGGTAAAAAAAAATATGCACATTCTTTACTCAAGTACAGATACTTGTGTAAAAAAGACTCCGGTATAAGTAGAAGTACTGATTCAACTTCTTTACTCAAGTAAAAGTGAAAAAGGACAGGCTCTGAAATGTATTCGAATAAATTAGTATAAATAATTATAGATTGTAATGGAAATTATGTGTGCCTAAATTCATACTTCTTCCAAACAAATAAATCAAATATATAAATTAAAAAAAAGCACATTTAGCTTTTTTTAACTGCTTCCAGCTCAGGATAAAAAGGTAATAGTACAGTTAAATCATTAGCAACTGGTTGCAATCTGCCATAAAACTGAAAGAAAAATATGCACGGTTGACAACAATGAAGGAGCCAGAAGCGTAAAGGAGAAGGAGGTCCGATATCTGGACATTGTAAATGAATTAAAATTAATTATTTTATCTAGGTGCCACATCCACATTTAAAGAGGTTACTTCCCCAAACAAA